GTAGGATCGCAGAATGCGAAAGATATACATATATTCCACTTTAATAATACCATAGTCCCGACACGCAAGTTGTGTTGATGACAAATAATCTAAATTAGCGACATGTCTAATAATTTTTTTTCTGCATGGTCTGAAGTTTCATTATGTTCGTTTTAGTCGTGGTTGCCCACACCAAACTGCAGTAATTTATGTGCGAAAGAAAAAGAGCATGGTATATTTGCAGTTTCACCTTTGCGGGTAAGATATATCTACAACGAGCTAGCACACCAACTACACTAGAGGCTTTTTTGCAGATGTCAACGACGTGTTGGTTCCAGCTGAGGTTTGATGAAAACGTGACGCCAAGAATTTTATGTTCATCCACAAAACGAATGTGTTCACCTGCGTAAACTAACGCTTGTGTTGATGAAAATATTTTGTTTTTAGCTCGGAATACGATGGCTTTTGTTTTCAGTGGATTAATTTTCAATAAATTTTTGCTAGACCACAAGAAAAGCTTGTTCAATAGCTTATTACACCGGATAATTAGCTCATTTGCGTCAGGGCCTGAAAAAAGTAAGTTCGTGTCATCAGCATATATAACAAAGCTCACACTGGGATCAATATCCACGATGTCATTTATGTAAGCATTGAATAATAGCGGCCCCAGTACGCTTCCCTGGGGCACACCATTTAGAACAGGTAAATATGATGACGTATGAGTGCTTAACTGTACGCGTTGCTGTCTATTTTGCAAGTATGACTTTATCAACTGAAGTGACGTGCCACGGATTCCGTATGATTCAAGCTTAAGCAGTAAAATGGTATGATTAATGCAATCGAAGGCCTTGCTGAAATCAAGAAAAACAGCTAACGTGAAAAGATTTCGTTCAAAATTTTGCAGTATCATTTCCTTAAATGTTAATAGGGCCGTCTCCGTTGACCTTCCTTTCCTAAAACCAAACTGAAAGTCAGTGATTATATTTCTGGAGCAGAAGAAGGCAGATATACGCGTATAGATTAACTTTTCTAATCTTTTAGAAAACACAGGAATAATAGATATAGGTCTATAATTAGTCACCAGGTTACTGTCACCACCCTTGAACAACACAGTCACTCTGCTTCTTTTCATATCTTCTGGAAAAACACCCGACTCAAGTATCAAATTGAAAATGTGGCTGAGCACTGGAGTAATGCAATCTAAGACATATTTTATAGGTTTTATTTGAATGTTGTCAATGTCTAGTGCCTTACTGTTCTTTAGGTTCATGAATGTGTAAATTTCTCGTTCATCTGTTGGTGCTAGAAAAATACTGTCGGGGCGTTTATTTCCTGGTGTAGCCCTGAAAGAGTTTGCCTGCAAAGGCACGTTTGCTGATACACCCACATTGACAAAATGATTATTCAAGTGATCCGCAAGTTCTTTACCAGCGAGCTCGACATTGTCAACGGTAATCTTAGCTGGTGCGGAGTCCCGCTTACCGCGACCAAGCACATCATTAATTAAGCGCCAAACAACATCAGGTGATTGCTGGGCGCTTTCAGCAAACATTTTCTCGTAGTAAGTTACCTTAGCTCGCTTAAGCTCCCGATTCAGCTTGTTACGTGTTTTTTTAAACTCTGCCAGATTTGTCAGTACTCTTGATTTCAAGAATAAGTTGTAAAGTTTATTCTTAAGTCGTATCATACTAGCAAGAGAGGGGGTCACCCAGGGTTTACGTATTTTTTTCGATAGTTTAACTTGCTTGAATGGGAAGTGTTTTACGTATATACGTACAAAGGCAGCAAGAAATTTTCGATAGGCTTCGTCTGCAGAAGTTAAGTTGAAAAGAAAAGACCAATCATATTCACTAATATCCTTCTTAAAAGATTCCAAACTGTGGTTTGTTACAGTTTGTATTGTATATGGTTCACGATACATCTCCTTAATATGCGGCTTGTGGGAATAACGCATAAATACCGGGCAATGATCACTTATATCTGATGAAACTGTTCCGCACTGAAATACACTGGCTTCGATATTTGTTATTAGTAAGTCAAGGCACGAGACAGATAATGGTGTAACACGTGTAGCTGTGGAAATAACATTCCTAAAACCGGCACATCGAAGCATGTTCAAAAAATTCGTAGTAATAGGGTTATCATTCAAGATATTGATATTGAGATCACCACCACATACTAGTGTAAAATTATTGGATGATACGTAATGCAGAAATTTATCAAAAAAGCTTTGAAAGCTCAAAATATTGCCCCCTGGAGGACGATACACAGCAGCTATCATGTCTGAATTGTGTCTGAGTGCCAATACTTCGTAGTCCTCACACGTGACACAAAAATCTGATACTAAATTATACTTCCAGCGACCGTCTACGTGAATAGCAACGCCTCCACCACGCCTGTTACGACGGTCAAGGAAAAATGCTTCATATCCATTAAACTTCTGCCGGCAGCTTGCGCCGTCATACCATGTTTCAGTCATCATGATGACTTGAAACTTGAAGTGGAAATCATTGAGCAGGTAGTGTATGACGTCACTCTTAGACTCTGCAGATCGAGCATTGAAATGTAACACAGTCGAATGGAATCTGTTTTGAGCACTAAGCAAATGAGGCAATACGAACTCGTGGTATTCCATCTTTCTTGGACCAAACAGTGAGCCCTTACAAACTAGTAGTTATCTTAGATAAAGAACTTTCATCATGAATCTGAATTACAGCTGAAAGCTCGCTCTGCCTCGCGAAAATCTTGCCATTCGCTGTCCACACAGATTTCCAGTTGCATTCATGTTTTTTTCTTATTGCCATTCCAAGTAGCCGTTTCAATGTCGGGCAAAGGTGCTCATTGATGTATATCGGTGTCGAGATATCTAGTCCCACGTCTTTGTTTGTTAGTCGAGCCTTCTTTGCTTTCCTCAGAGTTGCATCACGCTTCGCTCTTGATTTGAATTGTACAACGATGTTGGATCGCTCAGGGTTTCGCGTAGGCACTCTGTGACAAGATTCTATGTCAGCTTCTGTGATTTGCTCATTAATGGCACTTCCGATCATTCACAAGATATGCGGCACGCTTTCATTTTCTTTTCTAGCAACGCCCTGAATTTCTAGATTGACATTGCGAGAGTACTGCTCGGCAAGCAGAAGTCGCCTTTCCATGTCAGCACCTCTAGACTCCAAAGCTGTGCACTTAGCCCGAAGAAGCTCATTTTGTTTTTCTTGTTCAACATTTACCGAGAGCGCAGTGCTCAGCTTTTGCTTCAGCTCCTGAATCGTTTGGTGAGCAAATTCAATGCTGTTAGTCATATTCCGCTGCTCAGTTCTTAATTCTCGAATTTCCGTTCGAAGATCCCGTTCTATCATGTCTTTATACTTTGCAAGCTCTTGTTTGAATTCCGCCCGTAGTTCTTCCTTAAGCTTTAACAGTTCCTTTGCCATAGTTCAACAACAACAGTATGCGCTTACGCGTTCGTTACAAAAGAAAAAGTCACCAATTTCACAAGCTTGGCAGTGACGACGAGAAGGAAAAAAAAAAGAGAAAAAAAAGCTACAATGTTCAACCACTAACCTGCAGCAAAAAGGCAGCAAGGATTAGGCGATATCGAAGCGTGTTCGTCGCCACTGCCAAGTGAAAGCCGTCCGCAGCCGACGTAGCCTTTTATCGATGTCTCCGCTGTCCCGTGATGCTGCAGTGCCGCCGGAAACAGCTGACGGTAGCACCTCCTGGTCGCAGTTTTCTTGGGCCAGCTGATCACGTGTGCACGTGCGATGATCTGCGCCGATTCCAGTGCGAAGTGCAGCTGTGCAGAAGCAGCGATCTGCAGCAAAAAGGCAGCCAGGATTAGGCGATATCGAAGCGTGTTCGTCGCCACTGCCAAGTGGCGACGAACACAGTATCTGGTCCATGACCAGATACTGTGTTCCATGATACTGTGATCCAGATACTGTGATCCATGACCAGGCGGTCATGGACCAGATACTGCGTTACTGGTCCATGACCGCCTGGAAAATAGCTGGTGCGCACGCTACGTCACACGGCAAGCGGCGGAATCTAAACAGACCTAGGTGGGTGTTAATAGTGAGCAGTTCCTGCGCTTGTTTGTTTAGTTCGAGTTGCAAGTACGCTTTCGAGAGGTCTATGATAGAAAACACAGTTCCACCCTGAAGATTTGCGAATATGTCTTCAGGAAGTGGCAAGGGATACTGATCGACCTTGATGGCTGGGTTTACTGTGACGCGATAGTCGCCACATAATCTCAGTTCTTGAGTGTTCTTTTTTGGAACAATCACAAGAGGCGTTGCCCATGGACTATGTCTGACCTTATATATGACTCCAGCTTTTTCTAGCTTGACCAATTCTTGTTCAACGCGCTCGCGCAAAGCGTATGGCACTGGTCGCGCTTTCATAAAGACAGGGCGCGCGTCATCCTTCAATTCAATGCTGCATTCGAATCCTTTAATTCTACCAAAACCCGCGCCAAACACTTCGGGAAATTTCTCAGCAAGCAATGCCTCCTTAGCCACCACATTTACTGAAAATACTTCCTGCCAATTTATTTTGATTTTAGAAAGCCAATCTCGGCCAAACAACGTGGGCATTCTAGCACCCTGCGTTTCTTTCGCTATGACAAGTGGCAGTTCGAAACACTGGGCTTGGTATTGCACCTTTACATCCATAATACTAACAGTAGGGACCGTCGTGCCATTGTACGTGGCTAGTTTGACATTTGCTTGCCTGCAAGAGGCGTTTGGGAAGTGTTTAGCACACTCTGTTTCTGACATTATTGACACCGCTGCGCCCGTGTCAAGTTCCATGGGTATCACTTTATCATTTATGCAAACCTTGATTACAATGGCGGGCATACCTTCTTTGTGGTTCGTATTATACAGAGATAGCAGTTCGTTAGTATTTTCTTTCTCGCATTCTTCGCTCTCTACTCTATTTACAAGCTTAGATTTGCACATTTTAGCAACATGACCCCTTTTTGTACACCTATAACAGGTACTGTTCAGAAATCGGCAACTCACGGGTGAATGCTGTCCTCCGCATCGGTGACACATTCTTTTCGTTTGTTCTTTCGCTGCCCCATTTTCCTTGTCCCAGCTGGACTGCGTCGGCGCTTCCCTCGAAGGTGCTTTACTCGGTTGTGAGATTTTCTGTTGCCAGTAGATGTCCTCCGTTTCTACAGCTGCTCCTTTAGAACTGGTTTGCAGCATTTCTTTCGTGTCTTGTGTTGCCGCTTCCATGGCCATGGCTACGCTGCATGCGCGTTCCCACGTTACTTCCTCGTCTGGCATTGCCAATAGCCTGCATCGTACTCCCTCGGTACGTATTCCAGCGACGAGCCGGTCACGCAATGCTTCGGTCAAAAAGGCACCGAATTCGCATGTTGCCGCGAGTTTCTTCAATTCGACTATAAATTCTGCGACAGTCTCATGCGGCTCTTGCTTTCGCTGGTAAAAACGATACCTTTCGGTGACCACGGAGCGCTTGGGAGCGTAATGCTTCTTCAGAACGTCAACAACCTCCGTGAATGCCGTCTTAGCTAGTGTTTTAGGCAGCAGCAAGCTCCGAAGCGTGACGTAGGCATTCTCACCTATAGCCGTGAGAAAGATTGGAAGCTTCTTGTCTTCCGCGATGTCATTGGCCGCGGCAAATACTTCGAACCGCTCCAGGTATACCTCGAAGTTACCGTCCTCTTGTTGGAACTCGGGTAACTTACCGACAGTGGTCGCCATACTCAGTTCAAGCTGGTCAGAGTGGGATTCCTAGAAGCCTGCGGCGGATCCCATCCTCGTCGCCAATTGTTATATCCCGACACCGGGCACATGGTATCACATCTTTATTACTGAGGCGCCCACTGCCAGCCTCAACACAAGCAGTACAAAAACAGAAATACACCCTCCAGATACTGTGGACAGTATATGTACACACGCTATCTCTCGGCGCATGCGCAACTGGCAGTAGCTTGAGAGCATGCATACAAACCCCGCGACTGACGTCACAACAGCCTTCCGAATCCTTTTGAGTTGGCGTTTTGCATGTATTACTTCACGTGTAATTCATGGGTTATTTTTTAACAATTTTTTAACCGCACAGGAATAAAATGTGTTACACAGTGCGACACCATATCTTTGAAACACAACCAGACATCGTTTACATCAAAGGATCTGAGGCCAACTCCGAAAACACTGGGAATTTATGAGCCAAGTAGGTTTGTATGGAAGCGTCATTTGCTTTGTCAAAATTTATTATGGTTTGCGCTGCCGTTTGCATCGGTATTGAACAATCTAGCGGTAATACACACATCGGTATTCTGTGTCTGATATCCCTTCAATTATTTCAACAAGTGTTTGTTCTAAAAGGAAGTTATTACTCGACAAGATTAAGTCAAGTACACTGCGACACTCGCCTTGTACCCTTGTGGCGCATTCCACAATCTGGCGCAGGTTAAAACTTAGCATCATATCGACAAGTGCTTCTGAAGCCTTTGTCGTGTACTGCATGGTAGCCCAGTTAAAGTCAGCAAGGTTGAAATCCCCCATAAGAATAACCCGGCGCTTTCAAGTATGTTGGTGCAAATACTCTTGTATGGCGGTTATGCATTGGTGCCCACATCCGGGGCTTCGATAGATGCAGCCAACAAATATACTTGGGCTTTTGGTAATAATTTTACAAAAAACTGCCTTGTAATCTGCTACTTCTGGAAGGATGATTATTGGGATTGATTTCTTTATTACTAACGCCACGCCTCCATTACGTGACTGGCGGTCTTTTCTAACAAGTACATAATTTGGGGGAGCAACTTCATGACTCGAGATGGATGCCGATAACCACGTTTCGGTAACTGCCACTATATCGGGTTCTCGATCGAGTAGTAGGCTTTCAAATGGCTGTATCTTATTGAAGATACTGCGGGCGTTTATGTTCAATAACGTTATTTTTTCTTGCGCTGGCTTTGGCGCGTTCCGGGCCGGCTTGCTTCGTTTTATCTTTGTTCCACTTTGTCGTACTTCTCTATTTCTACCCTTTCGTTCTTTTCGTCATCCCAGGTGAACACACGGCTGTTAATGGACAGCTTATTATATGATAACTACACTTTATCTTTATTTTCGCGGTTTTGCTTTGCTTAGCACTGTCCCAGAGTTTTTTTCTGGTTTCACTGAGTTTTTTGGCAAAAATCCTCTCCTGTAGAGAAATCTGTGCCCGTCAGTTTAAAGCCGTTTTTAGTACCGCAGTTTTTTCTCTGGCATCAAGTAATTTAAGTATGACTGGCCTTGTCATGTTTGGTCCAACTCTTCCTAAGCGATGAATGCGCTCAATGGCCACAGGTTCAAGTTGAAGAGTTTTTGTAATTATGCCGTCATTGACTGCCTGTTCTAGGGTTTCACTTGTTTCTCCTTCCGGTTCCGGTATGCCATTAACGATTAGGTGTGACCTCCTGCTGCGGTTTTCCAAGTCGTCTATTCTTGCTTCAAGGCCCCTGATTACCCCCTTCATAGAATCCATTTCTTTGTGGCATGCCGCGACTTCAGCCTCAAGTTTTGTAATTACGTCAAGCTTGTTATCAATATCCGAGAGTCGCTTTTATTTGATATCCTTAATGTCTGCAGCGATTTCCGTCAGTTGTTTAGCAATATTTTCGAGCTCGGGGCCGGGATTGCTTTCGATATCTCCACCCATTAACAGTAATTTCTTGAAATATGTCATGCATGATTCACGCACAGCGCAATACTGCCATGGGCACGGCAACACCAGCAAGAAACGTATGCAACAAGATTGCAAAGTATGCAACAAACGTATGCAACAAACGTATGCAACAAGATTTGTTGAAATTTTGCATTTACTTTTGGATGTGCAGTATGATGCATTCCAGGCAACATAAGGAACAATAATGAGTTGACGTTTAAAAGCCCGTCTTGTCTCGAAGCAAATCCTATTATCGTAATGATAGACGGCAGTCACTAATTATTTCTTTCAACAAATATGGCACCAATTTTCTGGTTAGAATACCGGCAGCAATAATTTGATGCCAAATTATATTGCTGTCCGTACTTGTCTATCTCCACACAGAACAGCTAGATGCACTGATTGTAAAACCCTGACATGATGCAACAAATTAACCACGGGAAACACCGATGAAGGCGGAAATGTTGTAGGCTCGTGTGCGCAGATTTGGGTGCACGTTAAAGAACCCCAGGGGGTCAAAATTTCCGGAGCCCTCCACTACGTTGTCTTTCGTAATCATATGGTGGTTTTGGGACGTCAAACCCTACATATCAATCAATCAACCACGAGAAAAACTGAACAAGCTGGTTTGCATAAAAAAATTAAGTCTAAAAGAGGTGTTAAAAGATTTAGCAAAAGTATTTTTAGAATCTTGGAAAGAAGTTTACTAAGCTTCTAATATTATAAGAATAGTAAACGTTCAAAATTGTTTTTTTTTGAAAATCCAGAAATACGTTTTTTTAAATTCTTGCTAGAAGATTTCTAGCCGTATAATAACGTGGCATGATCACAGCTATAGGAGGTTTTCAGGCTGGTTAGGTTTAAATAACATCTCAACAAGACTTCTTATGTACTTTTGGACTATCATTTTTGGACATTTACTAGACGTTTTTAGCTTTTCTTGTGTTCGTGGGTACTGTCCTGCTTTAAGCCTCACAATACGACGTCATGTGGCAAGTAGGTGCTTTACTGCCCCACCCCTTACAAAAGACTCAGGCATACTTGCGTCAGCAGCATGTCATCAATAAAGAGTGCAGCTGCCAATGTGCACGTATGTTTTTACGGACGCCGACCGGAACGTTTAGTAATAAAAGGCCATCTCTTAGTTGCACTGTAAGTATGCAGCATGTCAGGGAAAATAAACTTTTCAGTAGCAGGGGGAGCAAAGCCTGGCAAGCGTATTAGGGGACGATGGGTTGAGAGCCTGATTACTCTATCGCTGTGCTCATGAAGGCGATGCTGCCGCTTTAAACGGACCCTGAAACACTTTTTCAAGTAACTATAGAATAAAATCCCTAGAAGAGCATATTGCCTAACGAATTCAATGCCGCAAAATTTTAGGAATCCATTCAGTGCGAGTGGAGTTACAGAGGTTTGTCGCATGCTGCAATTTCATGCTCTCTTCTCTCGACACGACGAGAGCGCAGGAAGCTAAGCAGCAAGAAATGACACGGCCACAAAAAAAAAAAAAAAACGCCAAGCACGATTTGCGACATTGAGTGCTTATTTTTTCTTCGAATGGACGGCTCTTTCAGTGTGATCGCGCGCGCATAAATGGATGGATGGATATGGCTGTACCATTTAGATCGTGCGGTGGCAAGCGCCACCAAGCCGTAATACCTAGTGAACCAGAAACTAGATCTATATTTTTTTCTTTAAATAGTGAGGTTAAGGATTCGTACTTTGCAGTGAAGGGTTTAATTTTCACTCATGCCTTGACTTTAGCCACCAATCAGATAACCTCCTTCAAGTCAATTCTACCCGCTTAAAAACTATTTTGCCCTCCCTGTCCCTAAACCCCAGTGCTTTGAAAAACTCTGCGCCATCTTCCTGATTATCATAGGGTGAAGCCTTTTACAAAACATTATCAACTGTTCGGCAGTTTCTTCTTCTCCACACGCACTGCATACCGTGTCTACCCCTTCGTATTTGGCCCGATATGTCTTGGTTCGCAATACTCCCGTCCTGGCCTCAAACAGTAGAGAACTACCCCGAGTATTATCATAGATCCGTTCCTTGGCAATTTCCCGCTTAAAAGTTCGATAGATCTCTAGTGTGGACTTCTTAATCATGCCGATTCTCCACATATCGGGCTCAGCTTCCTTCACCTTCTTCTTAACCGATATTTTTTTTTGGTTTGGCCCTCTGCTGTTTTCTAAGTATTTACCAGTCAATTTTCTGGTTCGCTTCCTCCATTTTGTATCGACATTCTTCATGTACAAGTAGCTGAATACCTACCTAGCCCAACGCTCCTCCCCCATTTTTCTCAGTCGCATCTCAAACTTTATATTGCTGCTAGCTTCCCTGCCCTCAAATGATGTCCATCTTATATCACATTGTACTCCCTGATTTGGTTTATTCCCGTGAGCTCCTAAGGCAAGCCTACCTTTTCAACGTTGCTTAATTTCTAATCTTGAAGGAACATCTGATCTCATGCACAAGACCGCATTGCCGAACGTCAGACCAGGGACCATGACCCCTTTCCATATTGCTCTCCCTTTAGAGATACCTTTATAGATCGCACCTTTATCGATATCCTTTAAAAGATTAGTGACTACATCTTCTATGCCTAGTGTGTCCAGTGTTCCCCAATATTCCTCTGCAACCACGCTATTGTACGCTCCCTTGATATCCAAAAATGCTAGCCACAGGGGCCTGTGTGCCTTTTCTGCTATTTCGATGCACTGCGTTAATGAGGACAGATTGTCTTCCAACCTCCTGTGTTTCCGAAACCTATTCTGCAGTTCCCTCAGCACCCCCTCATCATCTATCCATGCCTGGAGTCTTTCCTTTATAATCTGCATCGCCAGCCTGTAGACCACTGATGTCACTGTTATAGGACGGTAGTTGATTATGTAAGCTTTGTCCCCCTTTCCTTTATAGACCATGCTCATCCTGCTAAGTTTCCATTCATCGGGAACTTCTCCATCGATTATTATTTTGTTCACTACCTCTCTCAAAGCCTGCTTGGACTTCGGACCTAATGTCTTTATCAGCATAACTGGAATGC